TTCACTACCTATGTGAACTTGAGCAATGACTAACCTCTCTGCCTCAGTCTCCTAATTTGCAACACACGTATAATCATTCCTATTTCATAAATGCTATAATCATGCATTAAATGCACTAATATACATAAGCACTTAAAACAGTACCTGACATTACAATAGGTATTAGCCACTTTATAATTATCATCACCATACTGCTTGCCATGGGAAAAAGCAAAAATAATTTAATGGTCTCTCAGTAGGGAAATGGCTATTCATAGAGTAGAATACTATACAGCAGTTAAAGTGGTCTATAGCTACATGTATCAACATGGACCCATCACTAAAGAATGCTTAGTATTTTTGTTGCTGCTGCTATTTTACAATGTTGGGGTCAAAATCCAGGGCCTCACACATGGTAGGCAAGTGCTCTACCACTAAGCTATATACCTCCAACCCCAAAAGTGCTTAAGTTTTAAAACCTAGTTACAAATACACACATGCACACACATCATGATACCTTTTAATTTAAGGATGCACACACAAGTAGTAAAAGCATAAAAATATGCATGGGACTGGAAATGTTACATCCCAATTTCAGTTCAGTAGCTAGCTAAAGGAGCGGGGAGTGGAAGATATAAAATCATTAACTGCTCATATAATTGAAAATTATTGGAAAGCACTGGAAGATATAGATTATGTATAGACACTTAAAGAGAAAGGCAAGACAATCCCAAACTTGAGAGTGTGTGTTCATTTTGAGGAACCACAGCTATCGATTAGATGCCAAAACACTAGATGAGGAAGAGAAATGGTTTTACACAGTTCTGAAGACAATATAGAAGATGGAAAAGCTGTAGTGTGTCCATCTGACAAAACTAAAAATGACGATAATATTATGGATTCAATTTGTAAGTTCATGAAAAGGAATAAAATTAAAAGAAAGTGGGGAAAAGGAAATTCTTCTGAAAATGAATCTTTCTGGTTGGCAGAGCTCAATTAAGCTTTCCTTGTCTAGTGGAACAAAGACTAACCTCACCAGCCAGTCATCTGTAACAAATCTGCCTGTTTCTCCAGGATCACTTGGATCCCCAAGATCTCCAGGCTCTCCTGAATCTGTCCCTTAGAAGACATCTCAGATGGCAGTTATTACCACAAAGAGAAGATACTGGGTGTAGTATATTATCAAGATGAGGCAGGAGGAAAATGATGAGGATGAAGGAAGACAGACTACCATTGTCAAAGAAAGTAAAATCTAAGTCATAAAAAAATGGCAACTACCTATGATCAGTATCTGGTGACAAAACTAGTTCTCTACCCCTCTCTGATACTAAATCCACAACAAAGAACAGGGGTCTGTTCTAAATGACTGATACCAATCAGTCTTGCATACGTGACTTCTTTTCATCAGTCTAATTCAATGGAGCAGGATTAATGATAAATTTAGGGAAAAGACTTAAGCCTTTGAGCTCTCTAGCTTAGACTACACACTGCCCTTTTCTCAGGGAAAATGAAAACAAAATGCCAACAGGATAGGGGTTTTGTAAATGGAACTACAGATTGACTGGTCAGCCGCTACAATAAGACCATGCTCTCTTGGATCATGTTTGAAAGAAGAATGGGCCTTTCTGTGATAGTTCTTCTCTAAGAATTCTAACAATTTCTTTGTATAAAGAAATTTGCCTTTAAAGTCATACATTCTGAACATTTCAGTCAAGCTACAACAGGTTTGGAAAACGTCTCTGGGGAAGGGGAAAATACAAAGTTTCCTCTCTCTCTTTTTTTTTTTTTTAAAAAATACCTTTATTTATTTATTTTTTATGTGGTGCTGAGGATCAAACCCAGTGCCTTGCATGTGCTAGGTGAGCGCTCAACCGCTGAGCCACAACCCTATCCCCCAAAGTTTCCTTTTTAGTCTGTTCCCTTTGCTCTTTAAACTGAAGATTTTTTTTCCCTCTAAATTGGGGATCTGTACCCACTTAAGATTGAGTGGAATTCTAGATGTAATCATTTGTGTCATAACTTTAATCTTGTTTTTGACTTTTTTCCCTCTCTCCTGAGTGTATTCTTAGCCACAGCATGTATAAGTTTGGGACCATTAAATTTTTTTGATGTAATATAACCTATCTGTATTACATCACAGTTCTTAATTTGTTTAGAGTTTTATGAAAGATGGTATAGTTTTTATTAACAAAAGCAAAGTAATCTTTCAATTATGTGCATACAAAAGCAATACTGTTTTGTGACAAAATATTTAATATTAAAATTTATATCAGCAACTGTTTTGAGATTTCAGGGAAATAGAGTGAAATTTAAAACTTGGTTTTGTTACATCTAAAGAAAGACATGAAGTTAGGACTTCAAAGAGATTCTGAAATTTCTTATCTTGAGGAAATGATGGTATATTCAATCAAAATTGAGTGATTTTAAAATGACATTCTTGACTTCTGAATAAAAAAGAAAAAAAAGGAGAACCTATATATCAACATCTTATTTCTTAAAATATCCGAGGCAAGTGTAATAACATAATATGTTATTACATATTAAAAATAACAATAAAAATAACACATACATATCTGATTCAGTACTAAGTATAAAAGTATCACATAAATACACATCTATAATTTTTATTTCTTGATGTTTTAAATATTTCAAAAAATTTAATTAAAATAAAAATCAATTATTACTTTATAAATATTCATAGCTGAGAGATGTGAGCTTTTGCAAAATGATTCCATTTTTATTTAAATAAAACAAAAAGGCACTTATTTTAATTTCTAATTTGAAAGAAAGTTATTACATAAGTTACATTTCCAAAAGTAAGAAACCCTTCTCTATAAAATTCTGTTTCAAATTATTGGGAACCCCATGTTAAAAGCCCCTCCCCTAAATTTACCCTCTCCTAGCTAATCTATTCCACTCCTATGGCTTCAACTTCTACTTAAATATGAATAATCCCAATCTCCATCTCTCTCTCAAATTCTAACTACTCCCTAAACTTCTTACTGTACATCAACATCAATCTGCCACCACCAGCATATCTAAAGCAATACTCCTTTTCTCCATCTAGCTTAACTTATTCTCAGCAGCATCCAACAGCCAGTATCCCCAGTACTCAGAGGCAAAACTTGAGAGTTGTTGTAAACACCTTCATCTTTCAAGTTTTGCCAAATATTTGTGCTAAACATATCTCACAGTCCCTCCTCTTTAATACCATTGCCACTGCCTTCAATCAATCTCTTACCTCAATAGGAAGCTACAATTTCGTATGAGAATTATGTTTCCATCTTTTCACCTTCTCAATCCGCCCTTGAACTGCTGCACTGTGACCTTTCAAAATTGTAACTGATCATTTTGTTACATTAGTTCTTCAATGAAAATAAAAGGATACATCATTCAGTGGTTTCTCAGCACTTACATGATAAAATTCTACCCTCACTTCTTACCTCAGACACTAGTATTACTGAATTATATGTGTCTCCTAAACACACCATGCATTCTCATTCAGCTAATCTTAACATGTATTCTCGGTCTACTCCTCCTCCATCATTCCCATTACCACTCTTGTAAATTCCTCTGCTCCCTTACACTGAGTTAATGACTTTCTTGTCTGTGCTACTGAAAATACCTC